CACGCTTGAAGAAGAAGAGTTTCACGCCTGAATTCCTCTGTTTCTTCTTCTGTCTGTTTCGGAGAGCTCGTCGTGCTGCGCCTGGTCCGTCGTCCTTCGTCGTGCTCACCGCTCGTTGAAGGACGATTTCTGGGCACGAACGTTCGTCGTTTCTCGTGTTCAAAGTAGAACTGAATGGCTCGTCTGCTACGTGGCCACTCGACTGCTCCGCCAGTTCTGCTAGAACTACTTGACTGCTCGCGTCCCGTTCGTCGGCGGAAGTCGACAAGCTGTGCCAGCTGTTGCTTCTGCAGTGCTTGTGTGAAGCACGCTAATGGCCTCAGGGCTTTCCTACGCCGCCGCCCTCATTGGTGATAACCCCGCCAAACACTTCGATGCTAAAGTGGTTCACAAACGCAGCTCCCCTTTCCACCTCACAGATAGTCCGATGTTCCCACAGATGTTCCATGATTCTGTTGCAGGACATGGAGATTGCAATTTCATCAAAAAAGAAGAGAAAAAGGCGGACAAATCAACAATATTCTTCCCTGAAGCTGAAATTTCAAATCGTGCAGGAAAATACAAATTTCCACTAGTTGGAAAGTTTCAATTAAGTCGACCTAAGATGGAGATTATCAGGAAGGTTCTTGAAGATTTCAAATAAGTTAGGGTTTGGCACGTGTGTCTTTTCGACTGAAGACATATTATGATACAGCTGAGCATAGAAAAAAATACACAAGAATTTTCTCAAAGAAATTTATCAAAATAGAAGACAATCATATGAAATTGCTCAAATGGACCCTCAATTTTGATCCCAATCAAGAACTCTCAATTGCACATATCTGATTCTCATTACCTGAACTCAAGCTTCGATTCTTTGACCTACCTATCTTATATGCAAATGAGACTATGCTTGAAAAAACCTTTGCAGGTAGACATACCTACAATTCACTTCTCAAAGCCCTCTATTGCAAGAATTTTGATTGAAAGGGATATTACACTACCAAATGTAGAAGAAGTCTGGTTTGGTGCTCACAATGGTTATTGGCAAAAAATCATTATAGAACAAAAATCTTACTACTGCAAGTATTGCAAGAGGTTTAAACAACCCGCAAGAGAAATGTTTCAGATTGCACCCACAGCTAAAAATCAATAGTTAAAAGCAGGAACATGTTATTGCACCCCACGTGCCTAAACACGCTCCCAGCAAATCTGATGACAGTCAACCTGATGAGAGAATCACCACATAGCAGGAGTTGATGTCTGCCTCTTGGGAACCCTTCTCCTGACCATACTATAAGGGATAATGTTCGAACTGAAAATCAAACTGAAAATCAGGATAGCCCCGTCAGGATAGCCCCGCAACTCCTTTTCAGGAAGCATCAAGTACAGAGGTGACAATTCACACTCCACATACACTGGAACCTATTGTTGTGGCAACGACTGCATTTCCTTCTATTGTGATTCTAAAATCTAATTAGACCGAAAATCACATGAGTCAGTCTTCAAATAAAGAATATAAGGTTTACGTTTCTCGAAAGAAGGCCGCAAGCACACTCAAATATGGAAACTTAATGGATGATATTTTGGTTACTCCTTGCAATGGCACGACACTTCAAAATTTGTTATCTGGCTCTGCTCCTAAAACTAGAGAAAGAGGCGGGACTAAACTGGCTTGTCCCTAGCTATTTGTTTTTTGCATGTTTCAAATTTTTTTGAGTCTATCTGTATCTTTTTGTTGGGGTATTATTGTACTTGGTATCGTATGAGTGGGGTCACTCTAGTGGGTCCCCGCATACATTTTTTATGTATTTTTTCTATTTCAATAAAATCAGCCCTTAAGCTTTTCATATATATATATATATATATATATATTAAATATATATATCATCCCGCTATCAGCTCTGCTAGGGTTCGACTAACGGCGAACCCTAGCAATTGTTATCGCATTATATCAGCAACTATTATCGCATCAGATCATTTCCTTTCCTAGTTGCGTCTTTTCCAGCGTCGTCCCTCGCTGTGTCTTCTCTGTTCTTCGTCGGCTCGCTCTGCTTCGACTTCGAATCGGCTCGCGTCTGCGTCATTATTTTGATGCCGACACAGTTCGTGTCCGCATCGTTTTTGTTCGATTTCGATGTCGACAGGTTTCACACACTCGTGTGTCCATATTCTGTGGTTCGTGTCTACCGCGCGACTATTACACAGTTTCGACATCTGCGGCTTTGCCCCGACCTTCCGCGGCTCGTCATTTCTGCCCTCTGCCCGACTCGGTCGGGCTTCTCCTTGTTGTAATAGAGCTTCATTTTTCTTCGGTTGAACCTCACAAAGTCTCATTTTTTCACGTGGTAGGTAATCTTCAGGTGGAGACGGCAGTTGTCTTTCCCTTAAGTTATAAATAGTATCGTGATGGTACAGATGACTGACCCTTTATTAAGAATGCAAGCAGAAAAAATGGGAAAGCAACACTATTTTTCTCTGAGTTAGAAATTTCAACCTTGATTGATAAATTCAAGTTCTCTTATTGAAAAATTATAGTGGGGGCATCCACCTATGGAAGTTATCAGGAAAAGTTTTGATTATCTCAAATTAGCATGAAAGTGGAAAATGAGGCTCGTTGATGGGAGACATGTATTGATTCAATTAACCGCGACTGAACACTAAACTCGAATTTTCTCCAAAAAATATCTTAGCATTGCTGGTAAATCAATGAAGCTACTCAAGTGGTCTCCTGATTTTGACCCCAATCATGAACCTCCTACTGTACCGATATGGTTTAATCTACCTAGTCTCAAGATGCACATTTTTTATCATCAGGCTCTTTACTCTATTGGGGTCATACTTGGGGACCATATGAAGCTAGATCTATCTACCTTTAACCTAACCAGACTTTCCGTGACAAGAATACTTGTAGAAAGATATATTACTTTATCTGATGTTACTGAAGTCTGGTTGGGCACAACTCATTATGGATATTGGCAACAAATCGTCATGAAGCATAGACCGCCTTACTGTTCTCATTGTAAGATGTTTGGGCATAACATTGATAAATGTCATAAGTTTCATCATAATTTGAAATCTAAAGATCAAGTGAAGAAAGATAGATCTAACCCCACTGCTCTGGACATATTTGTTTCATCTGGAGATAAAACTACCACAGGACATGATTTGGCGTCTGATTTAATTGCCCCTGTGGATCCCCCCTAAAAATATTGTTTTTGTGATGAATGAGAAGCTGGATGGCCCTGTTGAGCAACCTACACTTTCAAACCCTATTGAAAACATTACTGAAGAACCCTTAACTACACGGACTGATAATCAGGAGAACCTTGCAGCTCCCCATCTTCAGAAAGTATCAGAGGTAAGGGCGACAACTCTTACCTCACATACACTTGAACCTCTTGTGGGCACAACTGTTGGTAATTTTTCTATTGCAGCACTACCACCTCATCCGAATGAGCAACAATCTTCAGATGAGGAATGACAGGTCTACACTTACAGGAGGAAGAAGAAGAATGGTGATCTACTTGAGCTAAGAAATCTAATGGATGATACTTTGATTACTTCGAGCAATGGTACACATCTCACCAATTTGTTAGTTGGTTCCCTTCCGAGAACTAGAGGCAGAGGCAGAACTAAATTAGGTCGTCCCGATTGATCTTATATGTATCATTTACTTTTGAGTTTTTCTTTTTCTTTTTTTTGTATTGTACCCTGTGAGTTGGGCGCCAATTTGGGCCCACTCATACAACCTATCTCTACCATTTTCTTTTAATATAATTGCCCTTGGGCTTTTAAAAAAAAAAAATATTAAAATGCTATAGTATGAAATTATAAAGGATTTAAAATATATTGATTGATTATATTCATAGATGAAAATTGTCAAATGGTTTTATACTCGCTTATTATAAATTAAACTTGCATGCATATTGTTTTATTTTCATTACGTTACAATGGTTTAAAAGTAGGCGTACACATCGGTCATTTTAGCTTATTGTTATTGCGAACTAAACAGTAAATGTTTAATCATTTGAATAAAATATGAGCAAATATTGAAGATGTGAATAACCCGAGCTAAGGAAAAAATTTAATTATATTACTTCAATTTTTTTCTTTAATGGCTCTTTATTTTATTGAATTATAAACTATTAATGATATAAAATGAATAAAAGAAGAGCATTATTTTCAACATTTGACCACATCTTCCCATATTGGTTAATTCCAAGCACCGGGATGTATCTTGACACTCCAATTCCTGAAGTTGTCATAATCATAATTCCCAATGATGAAAATCTCTCTCAAAAAACTCAACTTACCCAAACCCTAACTTGTTTCTAAATAGAATCATCTCTCTACAAGACTAACTCATATGACTTATGTTTGGCTTTGAATTCAAGGAGAACAAGAGCAATTTAAAATTCAAAACAAGGAAAGAAAACATAAAAGATTTCAACCAACAACAAGGATCCATCATCAATTTGCCATCAAGAGTGTTCCTTTCCCCAAATCAAATTCTAAAAGCAAAATCTTTAAAGAGGTATAAAGAACTACTGATAGACTGAGGCAGGCTAAATTAATACAAGATTACAAAATATTCATTTTCTGCAAGTTAACATCAGCAGAGAATAATTACAAGAATGTCTTTTGATGAGCCTTCTCTATTTCACAAACACACAATCAAAGTTAGCACGTAATTAAGTAAGCTAATTGTAAAGGAACCATTTTCGGAGATAACAAATTTTTGCACTCCATGCCCAAGGATGGTTAACTGTGAAATCAAGAACTTCTACATGAAAGTTACTTGCATTTCAGTGCGACAAAGTTGAATAGCATGCAATTAACTCCTGCACAATCTGTTTCAAGAGTTCATCAAATCCACTAATCATCCTTTGTGGTGGATAAATGTTTCCAATCACAAATAATTAGACATTTTCCTCACAATATATGATTAATTGTATAGATGCAAACTAGCTCAAAAAATGATTTCATAAAAAATGCACACATAAAAAGATAATACTCACATCAACTTTACTGGCATAAGAAATATCAGCATATGCATGAAAAGACAGAGAGCTCAACCATATGTTAATCTGCACAAAAATAATAATAAATAAATAACTATATAGATATATATATATTCATCTTTTGTGTTTATCATAGATAGGTCCCTAAATTTTTTTGTATACTTACTTGTATGATCTAGTTAGTTAGAGGGGATGAATTTGGTATGAGTGTTCTGCTCACTCAGTTTGTAATCCAACTTTCAGATTAACATGTATGGAGCTATAGCTTAGCTCTTTCTTTTTTAATATATATATATATATATATATATATCAATATTTAGAACAGAAGAATGTTAAATAGATAAAGTTAGTGGGACAAAATATTATTATATCATTTCAATCCACAAATAGAAGCATAATAATTAGCTTGCAAAATGAGCATGCTACTTATATTCTTTAAAGCAAAATAACAGCCAAGATACTTGCAAAATGCTCATCAACAAAAAGCTAAGCCTAATGAAAGAAACGAGTATATATCAATCCACAGATAGCAGCATAACAGCCAAAATAGTAGCAAACGCTCACGCTACTTCACTGTTTACAAGCAGAATTCAGATAATACTAGCAAATCAAGAAAAAGCTAGAATGAAAAAAATAATAAAATAAAAAGACAATGCTAGAATGTTCCTAAAAGAGAGTATAGCTCTACAGTTCAATTGCTTCTTAGGTATATTTTTTTGTCAGTGGCTTCGTCAAGTTGCTGTGGAATTCTAAACAAGAACTGTAATCATTAAGAGATTATACTAAAATTTCCAATTAAGCTGAAAAAGAAAGTTAACTTCTGATTATAGCAGATTAATTACCATTTTCCAAATAATTGAAGTAACAACAGATCTGTAAAAACATGAGCTAAAACTATCTCCTTTAAAAAAATTACCAAGAATTATGGGAAAAAATATCACAAATATGTTGTTTCCTGTTAACTAGATCTGATATAACAACATGGTATAAGTTGAAGCTTCCTTAGCTTCGAGGTAAGAAAATCAGATGGATGGCAGAACAATGAAGGTAAAAAAATGCATACAAGTAATGCAAATGATATCTAATTTTCATTCATTCATAATTAAAACAAGACTATTACTACGAAGGAGCTCCAACATGGAATCTAAACCATGAAATGTGAAAAGTATGACATTAAAAGAAATATGATTGACTATAATCTAGTTTTGCAGAGCAGAAGACAGCCATTCAAGAACATTGAACTTGAGATCTTTTAATGAAGAAGAAGAGCAATCTAATCATCCACTTCAAAGAAGTTCATAGCAAAAAAACATTCTGTATAACATGAGCATAAAAATATGATGTAATCAGAGGATCACGACGCTTAAATTTGAACAATCTGATTTCTTGATGGAGACTGTCAAAATGGCGATTATAGGTTCACATTGTTGAGATTGGAAACAAGTCAACAGAAGTCTATTAGTGAAAAGGGAAAATCGGATTGTTGGACGGCGATGAAGTCAATCAGATAAAGATGAATTTCAAATTTTAAATACAGTTAAGTTTGTGTCTTGAATTTTAAAGTCTAAATAAGATTACCATTTTTGTAGAATTAAGGGTTTGTTTGGGGCAGCTGCAGCTTATCCAGCTTATGCTGATAAGCAGCTTATCCTGATAAGCTGCGTGTCTATTGCTGATCCTGATAAGTTGTTTGTCTGTTTGGTTTGTGCGTTACAGCTGTTTCTGGATAAATAATCATTTTGCCCCTGAACTGAATAAGTTGTTAAACTGTTTAGTTTCTGCGGTTTGAAAACAGCCGACTTGCAGTTCTTTGTAGAAAAATGATCATTTCGACCATGTGTAGTGGAACTATTTGCAACAGTAATATAATGAGAACACATTCAATATGCTAAAATCCAAAAAATACTATTTAACAGTTCAAAGAAAAAAAAGATAACCTCCTCACTCAAGAGAGACTATCTACAAACCTATTAAAAAACAAAAAGTATAACAAAATTACAACTAAAACTATGATAATATTCTTTTTAAAATGTAGAAGTGGCATGTCTGGAGCAACGTTCTCGGGTGGAGAAATCGTCGAACCCAGAGCAACGCTGTCCGGTTGGGATATTTCGAGCCCCAATCGCTATGGGCAGTGGAATAGGTTGTCTGCCCACCTTAAGAATTGACACCTGTCGTGGGCACCTGTAGAATCGTCGGTCGTAGCTATGTGGCTAGTGTTGCGCAAGATACTAGCCCGGAGTTTCCTGAAACTTTGAGCTCATTTTTGTCTATAAAAAAACAAAAGAAAGACGTTGGTGATTTATATGTATTTACACATCTAACCCATAATCTTCAATCTACTTTTCAAAAAAAAAAATTATATACAGTATTTTTTGTAATGTGAAATCTTCTGGTATATAAATGTAAAAAATGCACATTTTTAGAGAGTACAAGAGTGGTAGGAAAGCAACGAGATTTAACACAATTGATATCATGCCCTTCCTCATGAATGCTTGCTCCCCAAACTGACCCCTAACTCATCACATCTGTCAAAAATTGCAGCCAAAAACTACACTTCATTCAACATCCTCACCCTTATCACAATGCAAAGCATATGAAGAGCTCCAAACATAATATTTTCCCAGAAAAATGGCTGAGTTATCTAAACAAAGACTAGTCAATATACATTAAAAAAAATTTATATCTGATAATAAATTTTGAATTAAACTGCACGTATGAACCACCATGGAAATATGAACGCGCTTGATTCGCTGGGATGCCCAAGCAACTTACTACTGATAAAATAGCAATGTTTCGGGTGCTAAATTGGTAAATAGCAATGTTTCGGGTGATATGTATGTAATTACCCTAAAATAAAAATAAAAAATGGAAAATTTACGTACAAAGCACAGAATTCTTATGTATTTAAATTCTACATGATTCACCTTACCTAATGGCAGCCCTGCAGTTCTATAAAGGCTGCCTGAGAAGCTGAACCCCATGCCAACTTCAATCGTTTGACAACAAAGAAAAATTCCATCTTAAGCTCAAGGTCATTCAATGATTCGAAAATAAAAAAATCAGTAAAAGAAGAACATCTCATCTCTTACCAAGTACACCATTTCTATACATTTACACAACTCACAAAAAAAATTTCATGCTTGGTTATTTTTTAGTGAGATTTGGGAAATCTTCAGGAGATTATAAAAGAGAGTAGACCAAAGGATCTTTCATCACAAAAATTCTGCAATGTATCGCAGAAAATTGTTTAAAGTGGTATAAATATATAGATTGTTGATATAATGTTGGGTGCTCTAGTTACTACTATTTTCTTTATTCATCCTTCCTTCTCTTCTCTAATAAGTTGTTTAATCTGTAAACCCAATCTTCGTTCTTTCCTCTCCCTTTCATTTCTCATGTAAGAGTCTTTTAGAACATTCAAAAATTGAATTTTTTTTTTTCATCTTCTTCCCCTCCATCTTCAAATTCTTGAAGTTCTTGGATGCATATTTGAATGATCTGAACTCACATATGACCTTTTGAAGCTCATACAAGGCTTCACAAAGATGCGAATCACCAAATGCTTTTGTACGGAGATTAACAATGCTTGATAAGATTGAAATCTCCATCCTGCAATATGGAACCAAACACAACAGATAAAACTTCATTCGAAGCATTACTAACGTGGCAATATGGCTTCAACAATTAAATTCCTACACCTTAGTATTCTGTATCAGAATCATCTTGACTTAATAGAAATTCATGCCATCTAAAAGTTCTAACTTGTGCATTAAGCTTTCAATTTCACTACATTATCGCTGCATTACAAACAAGCACCAAAAGAAGATGAAATCTACCCAAAATCAAACCTAGGAATCAATCATATAATGCCAGATCAAGGATCTCAATAAAAATGTTTCAAAAGCAAAATGCGGTATATAAGAGCAAAAACCGATCTCTTTTATATATCCCAAAATTTTCTTTGTAGTACATAATCCCCTAGATTAACAAATGAATATCCTAATTGTCAAATACTTTTTTAGCCACATAAATCCAGCTATCGTCTCAACTCTGATTTTATTTCAATTTAGGCTAAATCCCAAATGTACTAAATTCAGATAGAAATAAGATTTAAGATATTTACATTACTTCTCCCAATTGCGCCTCTTCTTCTTTTTCATTTAAATTCTAATTCTAGAAATTATCTATGAACAAGGTTTAACACGTATCAAGCTATACAATCTTTATGATTTAACAACACCAACATTTAAAAAATTTACACTTATACCAAATAAATTAATAAATAAAACAAGCAGCCAAACAGCTCCTAAATTTGCACAGCAAGCATTGATCAATGATAACATTTGACCGGAAGTAACAGCACAAACCCTAATAGGAGAAACCAAAAACCTCTAATTATTTTATTTTCCTTAAATCAAAAAGTGTAAAGTTTATCACAAGCTTATCAGAATTTGAGGTTCAAAATAAAATGAAAATAATAAATAAAAAACAACCATCTTGTAATCTGATGCATAATGGCCATGTTCTTTATAGAAATTAAATTTCTTCAAGTTTTAATAAAAGCCAGATCGATCAAAGCACTTCAACCAAAAAATCAAACAGAAAAATAAAAGTTCAGAAAACCGTGAAGATCGGAAGTTGAAGGCTGAAGAAAGAAGAACCAAAAGAAAAACGAGAACTTACCTGCCTATGCCTATGCCGGGAAGAAAGATGTCGAACTCTTTCTTTGGAACGAGGTCACGGGAGGGGAAAGGGGTGAACAGGTCACAAAAAGGAAAAGGGGCGAACGAGGTCACGGGAGAGCACGGGTGGAATAATCCCTCTACTTGGGCGAACGAAACGCGGATTGCGGGAGTCATGTCGCGGCTCGCTTGTTTGAGAAATAGAAAACAGTTTGGATAAGTAGATGAAATGCGTGAACCAAACGGCTAGGCGGTGTTTTGAAAACCCCGCACGCACTTATAAGCTGCCCCAAACTGGCCCTTAGTAGATACAATTTTGCTGGAAATAAAAACAATAAAATCTGGTTATTACGGAAAAAGGACATCATTATGAAGATAATTACTGATGATCCACAAATGCTTAATGTTTATTTTGAAAAGGAGAGCTACTATGGTTGGGCAACTTTTGTTCATGCCAGCACCATCTATTCAGCTAGATATGATTTGTGGAACAAACTGGTTGCTATGGGGACTGTGTTGGATGGTAGAGGTGATTTTAATATGGTTATGAACAGCTCTAAGAAACTAAGTGGGAAAAGGGTGAACTAATCTCTTATGCATAAATTTAATGAAGTTGTGGAGGAAGCTCACTTGTTTGATATGTGTTATTTGGGATCTAAATTCACATGGAAGAGAGAAAATGCATTGGAAAGGCTTGACAGGTGTTTTGCTAATCAAGCTTGGATGAACTCTTACAATGTTTCAAGGGTGTTGTAATTGAGTAGCTCGGGCTCTGACCATAAACCCATCATTTTAACTGTGGCTCATTTTCTAAAATCTAGTGAATATCATTTCAGATATTTAAATATTTGGTCCAACCACCATGATTTCCTAAGTGTGGTCAAAGAAAGCTGGCAATGTAATGTTGTAGGAAATGAAAGGTATGTACTTTGGCAATTTCATAAGAAATTGGCAAAGGTGTTGAGAAGTTGGAATTGGGATATGTTTGGGGATGTGCACAAAAAAGCAACTCGGGTTCAGGTAAGGGTGAAGCAGTTAGAAACACTAGATGAGAGAGGGAGTCAGGTGGGGAAGGAACTAACTGTGGCACATAAAGAACTACTGCAAGCTATCAAACGAGAGGAGAAGCTACTTCAACAAAAATCAGGGGAGACTCATTTTAAGGAAAGTGACAGAAACACAAAGTATTTCCAAGCTTGTATAAAAAAAAATGAAACCAAAACACTATCCTGAGAATTAAAAATGCCAATGGGGATTGGATTACTGATCAGGGAAAGTTGGGGGAAAGTGTTGTCAATTATTTCACTGGTATATTCTCTTGTGAGGAGTTGAATACTACAATTGAGTATGATCTCTTGAAGGAGGAGAGGGAATATATCAGCGACCTTAGCCTCTGTACCATTCCTGATGAGATCTTATATGCGTTTAAAGATAGATTGTAACAAAGCAGCAGAGCTTGATGATTTTACGTCTGATTTCTATTTGAAATGTTGGCAAATCATTAGGAAGAAAGTGATTGGAACAATACAAAGTGATTTTAGAGGTAATGATCCAGGCCTATACTTCACTGCTGCCACTATCATTTTAGTTCCAAGAAAATTATGAAAAGGCCACTTGGGATCAATTTAGAACACTCAGTCTTACCTCTGTTATATCTAAAGCAATTATTAAAATAATTGTCCTTAGATTACAACCCCACCTTCCATTATTTATCTCTGCAAATAAGTAAATATTCATAAAGGGGAGAGAAATTTCAGATAACATTTTATTAGCCCAAACTCATGGAGGATTTGAACAGGAACTGCAGAGGAGGTAATATGCTTTTAAAGCTTGATATAAGAAAAGCCTATGACACAATAAGCTGGGATTTCATACTTGCTATCTTAAGAGCTAAAGGTTTCAAAGAGGATTTCTATGGATTAATTAGAAAATGGTTATCATGCAACAAATATAGCATTCTACTGAATGGTAACACCTATGGATTCTTTCCTGCTATGATGGGTATCAAACAAAGTGACCCTCTACCACCCACAATATTATCATAGCATTTGATTATTTCTCTAGGCTGTTTAACAAATGGCAGGTGTTTAATCCAAAACTTCAATTTTCTAATAAAGCTAGAATTATGGTGTCTCACCTAGCTTATGCAGATGATGTCATTACCTTTTCTAATGCTGGGAAAGAAGTTGTAAAAGGGGAATTCCAAACTGTTTTCACTCCTACAGCTGCCAGTGAAATCGCCAGCTGCCGTCCAGCCATTGAGTTGCCTTACTAAAACGATAATTGAGGGAAAAAAGCCAAGTATTGATTACAGTTAATAGCAGTCACAAGGTAAAACATTAATATGACTGCTGCTTAACAACAATCCTCAACATAGAAAAAAAATATGTGTTCCTGCCGAGCAAAGAAGAAACATCCCAATTGCTGTTTCCAGCAAAACAAATTAAATAAAACAGCAGTTTGCTGCTGTCCAGTGAATAAGAATTGAAAATCAGGGAGCAAAACCTTCCATAAATAGCAAGAACAAAGCAAAACAAATTGGAGAATCTATCTACTGCAAGAAATTATACCTGAGGTACCTCTATTTGATTCGTAGGTCACTAAGGTTCCTCAAAAAGAATTACCTAAACATTTTACTATCTCTATTTGAACTCATGACATACAATAAGATATTAAATAAGATGACTCATCTGGCATGAACCTAATGTTGTTAGCTTAAACGTCAACAATGCAGTACCCCTACAGATTGTGGAGATGTAAACAAAATGAAGCTAATGTAACTTCAGGAAGCAAATAACATCAAGGTGGAAGCTTGAAGTCAGTAGCTGAAAGCTTTGTAAGGCAGCATATACACAGTGTCACAGGTAGCAAAGCTTGAAACAAGAAGGACATAAGATTCCATACCTGTAAGTCTTTGTAGCCATATATCTTGCCATCTTCACCAAAAAACTGATTAAGGTCCATTGGTTCGACACAAAAGCCATCACTTGTGCCTACTTCATCTGGACTGCTCACTGCAATCAAATGACTCAACAACGCATCACTAAAATACAATTCAAATGTCGACAACTTATAAAGGAAAAAAATTTTCTTCTATAAAATATGTTTAATTGCTAAATATATCTTAAAAAATGATCCCTTTAACACGATGTTTAAAGGAACTTATCCACTATAAACACTAATTAGCTATATTATGAGGTCAAGTTTAGGCCAAACAATACTTTGAGGTTGAAACCAGTACTCTCACGTCTTTTTGGCAGTTGTTCTAGTGGGGAAACTCCTTTATGGTCACCCAAAACTTGAGACATTTGAAAATAATTTGATGCTATGAAGCTATTGGGCAGTTGGAATATTGGCTTACTTGATGGTCGACATATACTTATTCAGCTATCTCACAATGTCGATTGCACTCGTATTTTTTCTCGAAAAGTTATCAAGATCGACAACTGTTTCATGAAAATTCTGAAGTGAACTGTCGATTTTGATCAAAAAGTGGAGTCCTCTATCATTCCTGTTTGGATAAAATTTCCGGGGTTAAAATTACATCTATTCAACTTGGAAATTCTCTACTCCTTAGCAACTGCTTACGGTAAGCCTCCCAAGGTTGATAGTCCTACGCTTGTTGTAACCAGACCCTTTGTGACTTGTATGTTAGTTGACAGAGATATCACTTAACCAGCTCCGGATGAGGTACGGATTGGAACCACTCACAACGGGTATTGACAAAAGGTTGAAATAGAACCACATTCTCCATATTGCTCTCATTATAGTATGTTTGGCCACAGTTATACTATTTGCTATCGCTTGCATCCTCATCTAAGGCTGGATATTGCAAAAGATCAGTCACCTACCGTCCCTGATGAAAAGGTGCAACCCAATCCTCTAGCCAACATCGCAGTTCCTCATGAACAACACCATACTACAGGTACAGATCCAAACGTGCTTATTCCAATCACTGTTATTGAAAAGACCTCACTTACATGCCAAGACACACGAGAGTGCTCATTTGATCCAATAAAAAATCAACTGGTACAACAAGTAGTTGATTTTAATGTTCAACAACCTACACATGTCCAGCTCACTTTAGACCAATCCACTGATCAGGTGAGCCAATCTTCGATGAGGAATGGCAGGTCTATTCCAGGAGGAAGAAGAAGAATGGAGGCCGACTCGAGCTTGGGAACTTATTGGATGATACATTGGTTACTACTGACAATGACATTCATCTTGCCAATTTATTAGCTGACTCCTTCCTTAGAACTAGATACAGAGGCAAGATAAAATTGGGTCGCTCTCTAGCTACCTGATACTCCATATTTTGATTTTGGCACTTTTATTTTTTCTTTAGGTCTCTCATGTATTTTTCTATATTTTCTCTTTTTGAAACCATTTGCATGTGATGGTTATAGTGTGGGCAGCATGCTTAGGCCCTCCCAAACAATCTATATGTATATTTCTTTCTTTTCAATATATTAGCCTTTGAGTTTTCTCAATATATATAAATATATATATATATATATATATATATTAGAAAAAACTCAAGGGCAAATATATTAATACTGAAAAGATACAGAAAGATTATATGAGATGGCCTAAAAGAAAGCCCAAGTCACACAATATAAAGCACCAAAATCTCAAATAAAACAAAGATACATAAAGGTAAAAAACCAAAAAGCCACAAAATGGAACAATAGTGCTAGGGACGTCCCACTACTGACAATGACACTCATCTTACCAAATTATTAGTTGACTCCTTTCCTAGAACTAGAGGCAAAGGCAAGGCAAAATCAAGGGCAAATATATTAATACGGAAAAGATACAGAAAGGTTATATGCGATGGCCTAAAAGAAAGCTCAAGTCACACAATATAAAGCACACAAATCCCAAATAAAGCAAAGATACATAAAGGTAAAAAACCAAAAAGCCACAAAATAGAACAATAGTGCTAGGGACGTCCCACTTTAGTCCCCCCTCTGCCTCTAGTTCTTGGAAGTGAGCCGGTTAACAAATTCGAAAGGTGAGTACCATTGCCCGTAGTAACTAAAGTATCATCCATCAAATTTCTAAGCAATTTCTAAGCTCAAGTAGTCAAGTAGGTCTTCATTCTTCTTCTTCCTCCAGGATGTGTCGACATGTCATTCCTCATCCGATGATTGACTCATCTGATCAGTAGATTCCTACGTTGGTCGGACAGGTGTAGGCTGTTTGGCATCAACAACCTCATGAGCCTGAGTAACATCAACTTGCTCGACATGATAAGATGGTAGTGAAGCAGTATAAGTATTGCTATCTGTATGTATATATAGAAATTCAGAAGGAAGAGGAAAGATAGATTGGAACTCAGGAATTTGGAGCAAGGTAATATACTACACAATGTTTCATCTTATTCTGATGGGGGAACAAAATGGCACTCTTGTTAGGATGACTAGGAGCCTTCAGTATCATTATGATTAATATGCTCATATGGAATATCAGGAGAGTGGCTGACCTCAACTCCCTTGATAGACTAAAACAATTGGTCAAAACTCATAAAATTTGGATTTTTGCCAAATTAAAACCTTTGGTGAGCATTAACATTCGACAATACTAACAAGATTCACTAGAAAGGAATTAACCATCAACATTGTTATTGATGATCCTCAATTTTATACTTCTTCTTTGATATTAATGTTTGCAAAGGCTAGGCTACCGTTGTATGCTCAAGTTGCATTTACCAATTAAAGCTCTGCTTATGGGGTAAATTGTATTTACCTGTAGCAATTTTTGAAATACAAAAGAATTTTATCGGTGTTCTATGATTAGAATGAGATAAATAGAGTCGGTAAAACACTTCATGTCTATATTTGATGACATCTTAAAAAATTCTTCAGATATTTCAACCTTCAGGGAATAACATATCAAATCAATTGAAGAAACAATTTTAAAAGATAAAACAATATGGGTAAAATAATTAATTTTTTAAATAGCCAGAAAACTGTAAAAATAATAGGAGAATTTTATTTTCAAACTTATTTAAAAGAGCTTAATAAATTTAAAAACAAAGCAAAAAATGAAGAAAAAATTGCATTAGCAACAAAAATAATTCAAAAAATATTAGAATTAGAAAATAAGTGGCTATGGTTAAAAATTTGAATTTTAAAATGGTAAAAAATCTACCTAATGAAGTAATAAGAGATCAAATATAAATATTACAGATGGAATCCAATTTTATTAAACAATTAATTGAAATCACTAGAAGAAATGATATCTTAGAAATATTAAGAAAAGATTTGAAAATAACTATAGGAGAAATAATGGAAAAACATAAAGAAGGAATATATACATGTCCAAATACCAATTTTAAAGAATTAATTAAAAAATTAGAAATTATTTTTATCAAAAAAATAGATGATTTACATGAACCATTTAGAAATGAATGAATCATATAGCATATATCTATTTATTTACAGACTAATATTAATAGTTATTATAATAAAAAAGAGTCTCTTTTTAAAAATTAAAATTATGCTAACCTTATAAAAATGATTATAAAATTACCTAATCAATTTAGAGATTTACAGATTACCATTTTACCTATAAAAGCAAATATAATTAGAGAATTAATAGAATGACACATAGAGAAGATATTCTACAAATACTTGAAGATAATTTAATTAAAGAAATAAAAGAAGTAACGGAAGAATTGAAAGAACACATACATAGAAATCCTTATAAAAATTACACAGATATAATTAGAAAGATAAAAAAATATTACATAAGAGCAATACAAGATTTAAACGAGCCTTTTTAATGAGTAGATCACGTTAAACAGAAACCCGCACCCCCCCAGGAGATATAATATTCTTTTAAAATGTGATGCTACTAATATATCATCAATTTAAACTAATACGTAATATAAATTTTTAAAAACATTATTCATCTTTCTTTGAAATATACTAGGTTCATTTTCTAATCCAAATGAAATTATTAACCATTCGTAATAACCTAATAGTGTCGTAAATGTTGTATATTTAATAAATTCTTCATCTAGTTTTATTTGCTAAAAACTTGATTTGCAATCAAATTTACTAAAATATTTTTTTATTTTGTATTAGATTTAATAACATATCTTTATCTGGTATTTTTTATCCATCATCTTCTATCTTATCATTTAATCTTTTGTAATTAATAATCATTCTAGCTTTTCCTCTTAAAATTTCTACATGATTTCTTATCATGAATGCAGCTGATCTATCTTCTAATTTTGATGGTCTAATTAATCCTAAATCTTTTAATTCTTTTAATTGAATTTTAAATTCATATTTATCTAAAGGACTATATTCTAATTCTTTGGTTCTTATGACTAAGTCTTTGTTTATTATAGGAATATTTGCTAATTCTTTATTTTTCTCCCAATGTTTTAAAGGATTTTCTCCTATTATTTGAATTTCTTCTACTAATTGAAATATTTTTCTAATGGTTTTGAAATTTGGTATGTGGAAATAGTTTCTTATTTATAACATGTATTTAAATAATCTGATACTTCTATATTTAGATTTTTTGTTTCATTTTCGCGTTTTAGTAACCCACCACGCTTCTCAGCATAACTCGGATGTTTATTAGTATAAATTACTGAAGTATCTTTACTTATAGTTAGAAAATTTTTGGTTATATTTATTTTTCCCTTCATATTTAAAATAAAATTAAGTCATAATATAAATTCTTTATTTTTTGCTTCATGAACTAATATAACTGGTAAATTATATTTATCTGTTAATTCAAAAGTTGCATGATTAAAGAAGAATTGAATTTAATTATTTTTTAGACATTAGTAAAATTTAAAGTGTAATTTCCTACTAAAAATGTCGTTATATCTATTGTATATATTTAGTAAATTTTCTTGGTAACAATTTTTTTTTATTACTGAAGTAGTACTTCTACTATCTATTAATGCGGGTACCATTATTTGATTTTGAACTTCTAAAATTATATTAGTATTTACCATTATTAGAGAGGTCGAATAATTTTGATAAGT